GTTACAATAAATTATTGAAAAAATTGACTATATTACCCCTTAATTTAATACTAATTCTCTAAGAAAATTATTAAATTGAAGTAATAATTATTGATTATATACAAAGGGTAAATATGAAAAAAAAGGATTTATTACTCCTTGTAACCACAGATGTAACAAGTTATTTGAAACAAACTATTTTTTCAAATGTGACAAGTATTATAGAACGAAGGTAGTTTATGAAAACAAAAGTAAAGTCCACGCTTTTCCAAGATAGCTTAGTGTTAAAAATTTCACATTGAATAAATACCACATTCATAAACGACATATAAAGATGGAAGACTAACTAACTAACTAATCGATTAGTACTTATCTTTTAATATTGGCTAGTCAAATCTCCACTATGCTCACTTTACAACACTCCATCTATCTTTATGGTAAATGACTAAGACTTGTCTACACATAATGCATTGAATGATCTTATATATTAAATTTTTAAGATATTATTATTATTATTATTATTTCATTATTTCTTTTTCTAGTAAATAGTTAAAAATATTATCGTTATAATTAAAATGTTATTTCTAGTTAGTTTGTTGTACTAGTGAACTCGTACACCGTAATAGTTAACTACTTTTAGGTGATTGCATTACTCAACTCGGGAAGGAACTGCGGGTGTGAACTTGTATTGGGCTTTGACCCACTTGAGTCATCACTTGGCACTAACTTATCAAGTGAATAATTGGGCTTACCCCTGATTATCTAAACTAATATAAAGAGTCTCACGTTGACTAAAATTAATATGAGCTCTCCATATAATGCGTTTTTGTGGTCTGATTCTTTCAAATTCGTGTAAGCTATTCCAACAATAAATACCCACTTCCTGTATTTTTCAATGGAAATGAAAATCCTCCATGTGAATGTGAGCAGTGAGAACCATTCACAATGCATCCAAAATAGAAACAGAAAAACCCAAAAAAATAATGCAACAAGTGCGGGCAAAAAGTAGGTTAAAAAAGGGGGACCCCAATTCTCATCATCATCTTCTTCTCAAATATTCATGGCAGATAGCTTGTCGCCATATAGAAACAGAGAACTCAAGGCAAAAAGCACTATAAAAGAAGCACATGAGCATGAAAAGAAAAACACAAAATTCAACTTCAAGCTTTCAACGTCATGTATATATGCAATGCACACACCACAGCCACTTCAATTTAGATTTTATATTTGGTCAATCATGGAAAAATTATAAAATTTCAAAATTGATATGCAAATTCTTAAACTCTCGTGGTCTCAAGAATTTTAGATTAATTTTTATTTTAAATTTTTTGTACTCAAATAAAAAAAATTACGGGGCAACTGTTACTTATTTTATAAGGGAGGAAATTTTATACATTTAATAAATTTTTTTCTGCACTTATTTTTTACGAAAAATTTTTTCTCATTAATCTTATAAAATATATATTTGATTAGATTTTATTATATTTAGAGGTGAGAAACATTTGAATGTATATCTAGATTAGGTCATTTTGGGTTAGATTAAGCATATAAGAGGTAAAAAATAAGCACTTCGTCTCATTCCCATGTGAGTCTCTCTACATCACTCACTTTGATTGCTTTGTTTGTTGGTACTGAAATTTGACTTAACAAATGCGTTTTTGTTTGTTCTTTGAATTAGTACAAGTATGGGAAAGAACGAGGAAGAACCACCGTTATACATACATGGAAACATATGTTTCAAGAAACCATAACTCCATGTCTCTGTAAGTTAGTTGAAATACAAAGGGACACATTCCATTGACTGATCTCTGCTATCATAACGTGCTTTTTACAATGGAATTAATGTTCCTAGATTCGAATCTTTCTTTTATATATAAATCTTTCTTTTATATATAGTATATATATTATAAATATATATGATTAATTGACTGAAAATATGATTATACATATTAATTATAGATAGTTGCAAAAAAACATTGTATAGTTTCTTGGTTTGTGCTGTGTCTGTGATTGACAGACATGACTCAGCGCAATCATAGCCGACCTGCAAGATCTTGATCCCCCAATCATGGTCTCTAATATCATTATTATTGTTAATAATTACGTAGATTAATATTTTTATCCATTTTTAAAGGTTTATAATATTTAAAAGTGCTAAATGGATGTTTCTTCTAATCTATCTGATCTTATACTGTTTTAAATCCCAATACCCATGTGCTTGGCTCAGTTAACAAATGCCAAAATTCCCATATGGATGTGATGTGAGGAAAACAGGGTAGGAAAGAGGAAGGAGATAGGAGGAAACTTGGTGGTTTACATGCAAGGTAATTGTGGGTCCAATCTGGTATGATAATTTAATATCTTTCCATAATTTCCAAAACTTTAATTTAAATTTTCTTTCTTCTTTTTTTTTCCCTGAATAATAATAATTTTGCATTCTTGTCTAGTTCTGACTAATAAATGGATGATGCATAGATAGCACCATTAAAGTTGTTACCATATGGTCATTTTATTGCTAAGTTTGAGGTACTATGATGGGTCACAAGAATAGTGATGGTGTCTTTTCTTATGGGACATGCAGTTGCAATTTCTACTGATATAGTGCTTTCAATGTCTAATAAGAGAACTAACTTAAAGGATTAATTCAGTTGGAACGTGGTATTTAAAAAAAAAAAAAAAAAAAAAAAAAAAAAAAAAAAAAACACTCATCTAATTAATAAAATAAAATGTTAAGGCCGTGGCCCCCGTCCGTCTTGTGCATGTCATTACATTAGTTGCCATGTTTACATAATTTGATTGAAGAAATATGGCCATTTTTTGTAAAAAAAAAAAAAAAAAAAAAAAAAAAAAAAAAAAAAAAAATCATATTTAATAATTAGGTTATGCTGACGTTCAATTCAAGCATATGTTTAGGAAATAGAACTGTTTTGTAGATACTTTAGTTAATATAGTTATTATTCAAATTTATTTCATTTTAATTCAGTTACATAGTGTCATTTCTTAACTCGAGAAGTTTTGAGAAGTTTCTCTATATTTTGTATATTGAAATTCTTTAGATTTTTTTTACTTAGCATATATGAGATAGATTGCGTGTACTAAAAAATCTGATGGTTCGAGAATAAATGCTTATATATATGTTAAGTATTTCCTAAATATGTAATTAATAAAATATTTTTTAGCTTACGATCATAATATAATAATTAGCATTATGTTTTAAATGCATCAATTATCAAAACGGGACAATTTGCACATAAAAAAAAAAAAAAAAAAAAAAAAAAACTATGACAAACCAGTATAGGCATGTGCAACATCTTGAGGACAATCTCCAATCAGACAAGTCCTGACAAGTAAGAGTAAAAATTTAAAAAACAAATTAATGGGACTGAGGACTAAGTAGTTATTATTGAGAGCAATCTTCCTATGCAGAACTATGTTTGGATTTTATGTCTGAAGTGAAGTGAACCTTAAACACAACAGTTGTAATACAAAATGTGTTCTCTGTAGAAAGGACAGAATGTTACTCCACTTGTTAATTCAGTGAAACCCATAAAAATAGAATGTACGTGAAAAAAAAAAAAAAAAAAAAAAACTATGACAAAACAGTATAGGCAGGTGCATCTTGAGACAATCTCCAAGCAGACAAGTCCTGACAAGTAAGAGTAAAATTAAAAACAAATAATGGGACTGAGACTAAGTAGTTATTATGAGAGCAATCTTCCTATGCAGAACTATGTTGGATTTTATGTCTGAAGTGAAGTGAACCTTAAACACACAGTTGTAATACAAATGGGTTCTCTGTAGAAGGACAGAATGTACTCCACTATGGTTATTCAGTGAACCATAAAAATAGATGTACGTGTTTAAATTATTTGTTTTTTTTTTTTAATTTTTAAGAAAATGAATGCAAATTGGTCTCTTTTCATATTGCATGTTCAGTCTAGTCAAGATTGTTTATCTTGTCAATTATATAATACTTATATTGGCAAATAGATTAGTGCATGATCTCAACCCTTTTGATGTGAGAGAAAGACAAGACTAGACCCATGACTAGATAGGTAAATTTTATAGGACATTTGAGACAAATAAAGCAACTTGTTTATTAGAATTATGTAATAAACTTCTATTTTTGATACATTAGATCAGAAATTTTGAAAACAATGGTAGGAGTTGTGAAGATTTGAATTTCTTATCTTTTGTATTATTAACCAGGTAACTATTTTAATCATTGAATTATTGAATAAGTGTTTGTTTGGTATCATTTATTTTATTTACTTATTTTTTTTTATTATATATACTAAAATTTATATCTAGGAAAACAGGTTGATCATCCGAAGGAAAAATCATAGTACTTTCTCTCTTTTTTTTTCCCACTTTATTACCGCAATTTATTTTCTTCTTTTAAAATAATAAATAATGAAAAAATAAACATATTTTACAAATAGAACAATTCCTTCACAATTAAGAAACAAAAGCAAAATGTCAAAAATAAAAATCAAACGGGTTGTTATTACTTTTTTGGTATAATCAGAAGGTATAATCTCCCTCCATTGTAGATTTTTGGCTATCTCAACAAAATACACTTTTTGAGATCGAATTTCGATTCTCACCTTTATAGAGATTAAAGTTGTTTATTACTCTAATCAATACCTTGTTAGTTCAAATAAGTTCTTATTAATTATAATGGATAATCACTCAAACTATCTCTATATGTATATTTAAATTTTATACATTTTTTATTTATATATGTGTTTTCATATTCGAACTCATGTGATATTCAAGTAAAATCATTTCAACTAAAAATACAGTTAATTCTTGCTAATTCAACTGGTAGCTGTTACTAAATTACAGCCTATTATTCCTGAAACATTAAAAGCCAATCAGACATAATTGTACTATTGAATTATTATTCCAATCAAATTATTAAAAAAAGAAAAAAAAATTCTCTTGGTTCAATATTTACATGTCTGTGTGTATATATACACAGACACATATAAACTTCCTTCCTTGTGAGGTCATAAAGAGAGAAAATACCATGGGAATTTTTTTTTTCCGTGGACCGACAAGAGATTATAATGCTGCCATTAATGGAGGCGACAATCCTTCAATTCCTCACTGACCTTTGCAGCTAACCTCTCTCTCTCTCTCTCTCTCTCTCTCTCTCTCTTTACACACTAACAGTGCCATCTCTTTTTCACCATCTTCCTTACTATATGTAGTTGCACAAATAGTGCTACTGAAACCCCTTAAGCCTCATATAATGCAAGACAAACCTTCTCCTTCTCCTTCTTGTTTATATCTATCTTCTTCTTCTTCTTCTTTTATCTTTCATCAGTAACCCTACCCTTCTCTCTCTCTCTCTCTCTGTCTTTCTCTTCTCTGTCTCTCTGTTTCTTTTTGTTCTTTTTGCCTCTTAGTTTTCACTTTCTTGGGTCCATATGGATTACCAACCTAATACTTCTTTAAATCTAAGCTTACCACACAATAATAAAAATAATGATCAACTAAACCTAGAACTTGTTCTTGAACCATCTTCTTCTTCTTCTTCTTTTTCTTCACCTCATAGTCTAACAGAGCCAAGAATTTTCTCATGCAATTATTGTCAAAGAAAATTTTATAGCTCTCAAGCTCTTGGTGGTCACCAAAATGCTCATAAGCTTGAAAGAACTTTAGCCAAGAGAAGTAGAGAGCTAAGTTCAGCTGTACGAGCTCATGGCGGGTCAATATCAAACCAGTCACCACGTTCAGGTGGTGGGTTTAGCCATGCTCGCCGGAATCAGCCAGGTAGTGGTGGTGGCAGCTATGGAAGACGAGATATGATGATGAATTATAGTGGTGGTTCAAATATCGATGCTTCTGCTTCTTGGTCTATGGAATATTATAGACCTGAAACTGTTCAAGAAGAGTTAAGTCAAATTGATTTGTCTTTAAGACTTTGAGAGATCAATTAATTAATTAATTTGCACCCAATTGTATTTTTTTTTTTTTACCTTTAGTTAAAAAATTTTCTCTTGAATGATTAATGTTTTTATATATGCGAGAAATTTTTATTTATCCCAAAGTTACATTTTGGAATTAAAGAAAAAGGAAAATTGAATAAGTAGATGGTAATTATTACGTTAATTTTTTACAGATGTTTTTTATTTTAAAACTTCTCTTACATGTTGTACTATATGTACAATATCCGTTCTATATATGTGTGATCACAATATGCTCTTGCCATTCCCATGTATAATTAAAAATGGGTTTAATTACTTATAAAAAAAAAGGTTCAACTATAATATCATTTTTTGGTAGTTAATTGTAAATTTATCACTTATAAATATTATTAGTACTAAATGATTTTTTGACATATTACATGAGTCTTTTCAATTAGAATATTCACAGTTAATGAATCTTGGAAATTTTTGATTTTTAATTGATTTTTTAGGAAATCATAAGTCTTTTCTATTAGAATATTCACAGGTGATGAATCTTGAAAATTTCTAATTTATTAATTGATTTTTCAGGGAAAATTATAAATTAAATTTCAACTTTGTACACTTCTGATTTTTTATTCAAATTTCAACCCAAAGCAAAGTTAGTATATGTGCTTGTACCTGCTTTTAAGTTTAATTAACTGTAATAATACTTCATATGAAAGGATGGAATTTTATATTAAGCATACTGTAATTTCTATCCTTTTTTTAAGCAAAAAGATATTTTTATTTGTAAATGGTCATATGGTATTAAATCACTTTTTTCATTAATGATAAAATTCAATCACTTAATTTTATTGCAAAAATACCCTTCAATTCCATAAATCTTGTTCTCCGACCAAAAGATAAATATGAAATCCTGTGAATTTCAAAATTCACGAAATTTAAATTTCATGAATCTTGTGAAATTTATTAATTTTCACATTATTCATTCAAACCACCTTTTAATTTGAAGAAATGATTTTGAATTCTATTTTAAAAGCATCTCAATGTTAGAGAAAAATTTATTTACATTCAGTATATACATATAGTAAATTTAATAACAAAAATATCGAATATAAATTATGTCTCACTAAAAAAAAAGATGAAATAATAATGAAATGTAATAGTTTTTTTTAAAAAAATTATGATCAAATATTAATTGAGTTTATGAGGAATGGATATATATTTATATCTTCCCCGTAAAATATAATTTAATCAAATTTAAAAATTGAATTAGTTGATAAGTAAATCTTTTTTCCATCTTATTTTATAAGTTAAATTATTGGGTCAGTGCATATTATCTCATACTTTTCTACTTTCATTTTGACAATCATTATTCATGTATCTATCTGATTTTAGAGTTCTATTGTCATATATAGTACTGCATTGTCTGTCATTTTCATAGAATAGAAAGCATGTGTTTCTTGTAAAATAATCATTTTCTTCAATAAGCCTGCTAATCATCACTGGAACATTGCAGATTGGTACTTTCTCAATGCTTAAGGATTTTCCCAGATGTTGCTGATCAGAAAAGTTCATATATAGGTTAACGAAGTAGAATATGGTATAAAATAGAAATAGGCTATCAACCGATCGATACAAAAAGTTTCAAAATATAACAATCGGTTATCAGTTGCTAATTTAAAATTCTTACCAAAATACCTGCAACTTAATTATTAAAATCGGCTATTAGTTATATGCATCAACCGAACTAATCATATTCTTAAAAGTCAAGTATTGGCAATTACTTGCATTAGCAAGCAACCATGATATCTAGGGTCGGACGCAAGCTTTAGGTGGGAGGAGCCCTGCTCCTGGCAAGTGTTTTTATCTTCAAAATTTCTAATTCATTGTTACATTTTTAGAATTCTACCCCCTGAAAATAGACGAGTCCTTAAAGCTTACATTTTATATTCTCCAGTTTTGAATCCTCCGTTGGTCCCTGATGATATTAATCGATATTGAAATCTTTTTCAGAATAGGAAAGAGGTTTTGGATTCAACTCTGGTTAAAATCAAATTGAAAAAGAAAAAAGCATTCCTTCCTTGTACCTGCAGACATTAATTTTGCAATGTCCTGAACATGCAAGGACAGGTTGCATAAATTACACTAACAAATCTTATATTATATTAATATAACCAGGCAATTCTTACGGGACAAGATAAGGCAAATTCTATTGATAATGTTCCCAGTTCACAACACGTGTCACGTGCAGGAATTAGCCGCTTCAATGAACACCCAATGACATAAAATCATTAATCTACAAATGCTTTTGGCAGGAAGTATCTGTTTAACCCATTTTAGAGTTTAAGCTAGATATCCGTAGATCCAAATACACAATTTAAAAGTCAATTTATCGGATTTTCATTTTTACAGTTGGTATACTACACATATACGGGATGCCTGCAAATTCCAAATCAATTTGTTAACCCGCCGTAAAGTGAAATTGGCGAATAGTGCCTTCTTAACAATTTTTACCAAGGATGCGTAAATCTTGAGTTCTAATAAAAATTGAATCGCATCGGTATTATTTGGTTCAATTTTATTTGTTGGACTCACTAAAGAAATGGATTTGGCTTGATTTCTTAAAATCAAAATTCGTATTTCTTTCTTATTAAAACAAAATCATATTTCTTTCAAAATTACTTTTTTGGACAACTTTTGACGTGGAATGTTTAGTGACTTTCGTATCTATAGAAATTATTTACTTAGACCGGGTCCATAGCTACGCTTATAGACCAAACTAATCCCAATAAGAATTTTTTAAAAGTATCCTGATTTATTTTTTCTCATGATATAGTCAGAAATATCCTCATTTCAATAAAAAAAACTTTATTTTTATTGATTTGGTTCATGAATGGGGCTATAAATGGTCTAAGTAAAATTTTTACATAGATGTATACCCTCAGTAATTGATTGCTAATGTTGATATTAGAAATAGAGTTGATATAACTAAAATTTCCCAAATGATAAAGTTGATTTTTTTAAAAAAATTTTTGTAATTAAGATTCAATGATTAAGGCAATTTCATTTCAATAAAAAAAAAAATAGTCAATTTAATAAATACATGTGTCAAGTGTGGAGTGGGCTTTTGATTTATTTGGAGAGAAAATTTAATCTTGAGATTGACGTATAGATTAATTGTCAACATGAACCAAAATAAACATTAATGTTTATGTAATCATTAAACTAATATAATATTAATAGTTTTTCTTTTTTTTTTAGGAAAAATACAATATTGATAGTTATTTGTATAGCAAGCATGAAACTGAATCAATCATTTCAATGTGATTATTTTTCACTCCTGTCAAAGGGCTTAAATATTTTTAGACAGAGAATATTAATTTTCATTGAATTCAATCTTTACACTTTTGAAGGGAGTAAAAATTATACTTAATTAACATTTTAATTAAATTAACATATTAGAAAATTATAGATACCTTTTCAGATCTATTACTGATACTAAGCAGCAGTCAAAAAATTTGTATCTGTTTTTCATGATATTATGCACGGATCAGATATATCATAGCGAATGGTATGCTGTGTACTTAAAAAAGAAGGAAAAAAAAAAGGGAATAAAAAGACAACAAAGGACTAAAGCAACATATAGAAGAAGAGATTAACATTATGTTGGAATTCCTAAAACTATCATAGTAAGAAGGGGAAAGAACAGCATGTCCCAATAATTGAATTCTATCTTAAACTTGAAGTAATGCCATCTTACTGCTAAGGACTTGAACAATAGGCTTGCAGACTTGAGGAGGAAGCCCACGAGAAAAACCCATGTCATATATCAGTTTGAGATAGGCCCTATCAGGCCCAATACATATTATGTCTTAAATTTTACGCCTTAAATTAAAAATTACACAAATGGAGTAGATTAAGAATTTTATAAGAGACTCTTTTAGGTTAAAATTAACATTTTGTTCATTAAATATTTCAATTAGAATTTTCTCATTTGTAAACCTATAAAATATATAATAAAATTTTCAAATAAAAATAGTTAAATTGTATAAATGAAAAAGAATTAATTTTAATTTTTTTTGAACCTATAGTAATTTTACTATAGGTCATACCAGTAATTATTCTCTATAATAATTTTATTATATTTTATATTTTTATAAATTTATAAAGACGAAAAAATGAAAAAAATCATAAATATCCTTATGTAATTTTAGTGTACAACTATTTAGCCACAAAAATAATAAACAATGGCTCTTAAGTGTCAAAGAAAAAAATTGATTTTCAAAGTCAATGTTATTTGCCAATAAAAAGATTATTAATACTATAAGAGTTAATTTCTGGATATAGTATACAATAAGAATCAAATACTCATTTAGTTAACTAGATTTTTTCTATTTTTAATCCCAAATAGTAAAGATAAACTGAGCCAAAATTTATTCAACCCTCAATTAAAGTAAACATTTTAAGCCTCATTTGATTTAAAATGACCTATTTTTTAAAAAATATACTTATAAAAAAATACACTTCCATGGAAATTTATTCTTAGCAAGTATAATTTAAATGTGTTTTATATGTAAATCAACTTTTTGGAAAGTAAATTCCTCTCAAATTACAAATTATAATAATATTCATAATATAAATTTGAGTGTATTTAGATAATATGCTAAATTGATAAATTCATTGCAGTTAATTAAGAAAGTGCAACTTTTCTAGCCCATCTCTAAGAAACTTATTTCCCTTGTGCGAGAGGGAAGTTGGATGATCTACTTTTCAGAAAGTAGAATTGATAATATAAACTAAATGCAAATACTTTATGCACCTTAATGAAAGTTATAGTTCTCTAGTCTACTTACCTTCAACCAAATATCATTTTACTTTGAATTAGATTTCTACAAAGAAAAATCTCATGCGTCACTATTTCAGATAAAATGAAAAAAGAATGAAGTTTAATACTTGTTTTTGTTTGCACATGTGTCTTAATACTCGAACGGAAAATGATATTTAAATAAAATTATTCCAACTATGATCACTGATACTCAGATTTTTTTTTTTTTTTCCTTTTTACACTTAGGATAAGAGTCCAAGATTTTAG